TTATTACAGCTGTACAGGGCCTTAGTGAGACAACACCTGGAATACTGTGTGTAGTTTTGGTCTCCTTACTTAAGAGATAATTTACTTACCATAGAGGAAGTGCAGCATATGTTCACCAAACTGATTCCTGGATGGTTGGATTGTCGCAGAAGGGGAGATTGGGTTGACTAGGCTTCTATTCATTAGAGTTTAGAAGAATGACAGGGAGTGTCATTTAAGTTATATGATTTACACAGGGCTGGACAGACTGGATGCAGCGATTATGTTGCTCCCTATCTGTGGGGTCTAGAACAGGGAGTCACGGTCTCAGGATACAGGGTAGAACTGAGAGAAAAAGGAATTTCTTCACTCAGAGAATGGTGAACCTGTGAAATTCTCTACCACATAAGGCTGTGGAAGCCAAGCCACTGAATATATTGGAAAGAAATAGATATATTCCTCAAAAATAAAGATGTCAATGGGCATGAGAAGGAAGCGTGAGTATTGCAGTGAGGTACGGGATAAGGCTTGGACGTCTGCTGCAGTCATAATGTGCAGGCAGCATGATATTTGCACGCTCTTACCACTGTATTATGCATCTTGTTCCGTCCAACTGCTTTCAGGGCCTATTGAATTTGTCTCCAAAGAATTCGCCAGTATTTAGTTTATAGTCTCAGTGCCCTCTATTGGATGCTTTAAGCATAACACTTTGAGTGAATCGCGCTTTCAGTTAAAAATCTCTTATTAATGCCCATCTTTGAGTTGCTTCACGTAACTATACAGTTGTGTGAATAAGGGAGCTGACTAGCAGTAATCCTGACCACCACTCCAACATAACCAAAACTTCTACAACTGAATGAAATTAGGTTATTTGAGATCTCAAAATCTATTGGAATAACATTTTTAATAGTGTTACATCCTTCAGGGAGAAATGTGTTGGATCTGTATTGATGTCAAGGTGGCTGATTGATGGAACAAAACTGGACGACTATGCTAAACAAAATTTAATGCCTAAATCAGTTCAGATCCAGCTTTAATCGGGGACTGAGCACCAAGAATGATCTTTGGGACAGGGATGGTTGGCAATGCCAATCGAAGCTAGAACTTTAAATAAAAACCGAAAGAACTTTGTGTGCTGTAAATCAGAATCAAAGACAGAAATTGCTGGAAAAGCTCAGCAGGTTTGGCAGCATCTGTGAAGAAAAATCAGAGTTAACATTTCGGGTCTGTTTCCGTTCTGAGGAAGAGTCACCAGACCCAAAACTGTAACTCTGATTTTTCCTTCACAGATGGTGCCAGATCTGCTGAGCTTTTCTACTTATGCGGTTCTTTCTTGCAACTTAAGTCCATAAGGGATATAATATCAATTAAATTACAACAGACCACGGCCATCCAGACACATCAGCTACTTACCTGCAAGGGAGAAAAATCGCCCCAATTACATTTCCCATTCTCACAGCCTGTCAATTCTGTCAATTCTTTTTTTGCCTTTCTTGATAGCTGAAGTAGTTTGTGCCTCAATAACTAATCCTGGAAGTGAATCCCACTGCCTCACAACAGTTTGTGTGAAAACATTTACTTATTCCCTTTCCTAAATCATCATATCTACAGACATATTCTTGTCCTTTCAGCCACTGGACCCAGTCTACTCCTACCCATGCAGTCTCATCTTTCCTATTTCCAATAGTTCTTTCCTATTGACCCATAATTTATCAGGCATGACCCACCCTCTTGACGAAGCTGCAAGGTCTTATGGTCCAATATGGTTCAGGTGGTGTTAAGTACGTCTGCCTATCCTCCCATGCAATTGCACGGAAAGGGTGGCAACGAGCATAATTAATGAGGTGTAGTATTAATGAGGCAGAAGCTTGCCAGAGAGAGGTCATTCTGAGCCAGTACAGAAAGGGCGCCATGAATCTCACTTGACAAGAGATTAACTGAACATGGAAAAATTGGTCTGGTTGGACTATGGTGACTTTACCTTTGCCAAGTCTAAGCTTAAACTTGTCTAATAGTCTTCCGCGCACTACCTTGTCAAAGACCTTTCGAAATCTATGCACACCATATACAATGCATTTCCCCATCTATAACGTTTGCTACTTCCTCAAACAACAGTATAGGTTTCACTTTCTCTTTGTCTAGATTTGCTGCCATTTCTTCCTTAATAAGGTACTAAAGTTTTCCCCAGTTGATATGTAGTTGCCCAGATGAGCCTTTTATAAAACTGGATATTACACTGGCCACTCTTCAATATATTATTTAATATGATTTTATATAATATAAAAATATAATAATTTCCATCCTTGCAGGGGTGCATGCCTTCAGAGGCTGGAACTTTGATTTCCGTTACTCATTTTACTCTCACCAATCTCAGCATTCAATTCCTCTCTGATTTGATATTTTTTCGGATTTTACCCTGGATTTTTCCATGTTCAGTTAGTCTGATATATGTTGCAAGTCTAATCTAATTTTAATCTAGTGTCAAGTAGTGAAATGTTCACCCCACCCCACCCCCTTTATTCTGTAGTATTTTACCACATGACGAGCTGCCGGTCTCTCCCTCTGGGCAAAAAAACAGTGTAAGCCACAGTGGCTGGCAGTTTCTAAGTAAGCACAGAGAGCAGAGAAAGCAGTCTAATCTCCAAGCACCATAAGAAGCATTCTCTGCAAGATACATGAAAACTATATATTCCTGCACACAAAGCAACCTGACAGAAGCATGCAAGTCCTATATATCCTTGAATGCCAAAGTCATGCATTGAAGTTCTGAAGTGGCGTGAGAGTTGGGCTAAGAGCAACCATGATGGTGTGCTGAGGCTGGTGCTTTGTTGTTGATGACTTGTGCTGATGAAGGGTCAAGGGGAATGGGGACTTTGTGTTGAACACACATTTAAACGATGGCTGGTTCAAGCACGCAGCAACCTGTGGTCACCAGGTACTGACGCTGACTGATATGTTGGAAAAATATGTCATCTAGCTTTTGGGGAAGGGATGTGATCTATATGGACTTCGGTAAGGCATTCAACAAGGTTCCTCATGATAGACTGGTTAGCAAGGTTAGATCACATGGAATACAGGGAGAACTAGCCATTTGGATACAGAACTGGCTCGAAGGTAGAAGACAGAGGGTGGCGGTGGAGGGTTGCTTTTCAGACTGGAAGTCTGTGACCAGCGGTGTGCCACAAGGATCAGTGCTGGGTCTACTGCTTTTTGTCATTTATATAAACGATATAGATGTGGATATAGGAGGATTGGTTAGTAAGTTTGGGAATGACACAAAAATTGGAGGTGTAGTGGACAGTGGAGAAGGTTACCTCAGAGTACAATGGGATCTTGATCAGATGGGCCAATTGGCTGAGGATTGGCAGATGGACTTTCATTCAGATAAATGTAAGGTGCTGCATTTTGGAAAGGCAAATCACAGCAGGACTTATACACTTAATGGTAAGGTCCAGGGGAATATGGCTGAACAAAGAGACCTTGGAGTGAAGTTCATCGTTCCATGAAAGTGGAGTTTCAGTTGGATAGGATAGTGAAGAAGGCATTTGGTATGCTTGCTTTTATTGGTCAGTGAATTGAGTACAGGAGGTGGGAGGTTATATTGCAGATGTACAGGACATTGGTTAGGCCACTTTTGGAATACTGTGTTCAATTCTGGTCTCCCTGCTATAGGAAGGATGTTGTGAAACTTGAAAGGGTTCAGAAAACGTTTACAAGGATGTTGCTAGCCCAACCTGGCTTTTGAGGGTTTGAGCTATAGGGAGAGGCTGAATAGGTTGAGGCTATTTTCCCTGGAGCATGGGAAGATGAGGGGTCACCTTATAGATGTTTATAAAATCATGAGGGGCATGGATAGGGTGAATAGACAAGGTCTTCTCCCTGGGATGGGGGAATACAGAACTAGAGGGCATAGGTATAAGAAGAGTGGGGAAAGTTTAAAAGGGACCTAAGAGGCAACTTTTTCACGCAGAGGGTAGTGCATGTATAAATGAGCTGCCAGAGGAAGTGGAGGAGGCTTATATAATTACAACATGGGTACGTGAATAGGAAGCATTTAGAGGAATATGGGCCAAATGCTGGCAAATGGGACTAGATTAATTTAAAGTAATCTGGTCAGCATGGATGAGTTGGGCTGAAGGGTTTGTTTCTGTGTTGTATATCTCTATGACTCTATGACAAGACAATTGGAAGTGGCATAGAAAAAAGCCAGGTTGGGCTAATAATAAGATGCAAAAACATGGAAACAAAGTCAAAGCTGCTCAATAATGGGATTCTGAAGTCAATGTTAAAAGCACAAGGGTAAAATTACAAAATGTTTTCTCAATCTCAAAATTTTGTTTTTCATTTATGCAGTGCTATATTTTTCCAATATTTTCATCGTTGTGCCTGCACACAAGGGAAGGAAGTATCCTGCTCACTGTTTTTAAATTCTTGTTTTCTCACATTCTCCTCGAGCTTTCTCATTGTTATTTTTATCAACTTCTTCAATTTGAAAACCACTCCAAGCCTTTTCGTACTTATGACAACTTGAAATTGTTGCTAGCTTTCCTTATTAATGGATTATTTATTTCATTAAGTATTTTTGTACCACTTATTAATGAATTATTTATTTCATTAAGTATTCTTGTAGCACATGTTTTAAAAATACATTAAACATCTGAAAGTGGTTTGCAAGCACCAAACTACTTTGAAGTACGGTGTCTAGAGTTATTGAGACAAACTATAATCGCTTTTTACACTGAAAGATCCTTCAAAATAAGGGTCCAATTGATTAGTTTTGGCAAGAGTGAATCATTCCCTTTTACCTATTTTGTAGTGTACATATCCAAGAGCCGTCACTGAAACACACACAAGCCATGTAATACCTGATGGTGATGAAACTTTCCATTTACAGGAAGTGATACATGAACCATAGAGTACTAGATGGGATGAACTGTTCCCTTTTAATATTGTGAACTTTAAATCATAAATAAATACAAAAGAGACACTGCAGTAATTAGAACTCTGAGTACCATACTCACCTGTTGTACATTAGACGTTTGAAGTCTTGATAGAGTGTGTCCTTGTTCTTATCAATGAAGCCTTCCACTGAGTACCTGAACCCAAACATAAAGCAGTTTTAGTTCAAATGTCCATTGCTTCTCCTCTCTTAGATGTAGACAACGGATAAATACAGGTCCAATGTACGAGCTACCTCCCAAGCCCAAAACCTTATTCAAGTATCTATTCTTTTAATATAATCCAGATAGTGAATGTTAGTGGATTTATGTCAAATATAAATATACAAACAATCTAGAAATATGAAACACAAAAACGGGAAGTTTCTTTAGCAAAATACTATGGAGAAGGAAGCCTGTCATTCTTACTCAGCGCGACCAATGTGTGAATCCAGACCCACATTACTGTATTCGATTCTTAACTGCCCTCCGAAGAGGTCTAGCAAACCATTCAGTTGTGTTAAATATATTCTCATCTTTTAAGGGCATTTATCGAAAAGCTACAGGAAAGGGAGATGGAAATTGTGAGAGATAGATGGAAGGGGAAGAGGAGCATAAAGATAGGGATGACATTAGGATCATGCAGTCTATCAAGTTAGAATCAGAGAGCCCTACAGCATGGAGACAGGCCCTTTGGTCCAAACTGGTCCGTGCCGACCAAAATGTCTATCCACGCTAAGCCCATTTCCCTGCACTTGGCCCAGCACAAATACAGGCACATTGGTCCAACTTGTCCATGCTGACCAGATATCTTAAATAAATCTAGTCCCATTTGCCTGCATTTAGCCCATATCTTCCTGAACCCTTCCTATTCATATACCCATCCACATGCCTTTTAAAAGTTGTCATTGTACCAGCCTCCATGACTTCCTCTGACAGCTCATTCCATGCATACACCACCCTCCACATGAAAATGTTACTCCTTAAGTCCCTTTTAAATCTTTCCCCTCTCATCTTAAGCCTATGCCCTCCAGTTTTGGACTCCCCCACCATGGGGAAAAGACCTTGTCTGTTCACCCTATCCATACCCCTCATGATTTTATAAACCTCTATAACGTCACCCCTCAGCCTCTGATGCTCAAGGAGAAATAGATACAGCCTATTCAGCCTCCCCCTATAGTTCAAACCCTCCAACCCTGGCAAATTCCTTGTAAATGTTTTCTGAGCCCTTTCAAGTTTCACAGCATCCTTCCTATAGCAGGGAGACCAGAATTGCACACAGTATTCCAAAAGTGGCCTAACCAATGTCCTGTACAGCTGCATCATGACCTCCCAACTCTTCTACTCAATTCACTGACCAATAAGAGCAAGCATACCAAACGCTTTCTTTACTATTCCATTTAACTGCGACTCCACTTTCATGGAACTATGGACTTCTCTTTGTTCAGCATCACTCCCCAGGACCTTACAATTGAGTGTATAAGTCCTGCCGTGATTTGCCTTTCCGAAATGCAGCACCTTACATTTATTTAAGTTAAAGTCCATCTGCCAATCCTCAGCCCATTGATTCATCTGATCAAGATCCTGTCGTACTCCGAGGTAGCCTTCTTCTCTGTCCATGACACCAACAATTTTTGTGTCATATGCATACTTATTATCCATACCTTCTATGTTGACATCTAAATCATTATATAAATGATGAACAGCAGTGGTGAAAATGATGACTCAACACTGATCCTGGTGCACTTTGCTGGGCACAGGCCTCCTGTCTGAAAAGCAACTCTCCACCACCATCCTCTGTCTCCTACCTTTAAGCCAATTCTGTATCCAAATGGCTAGTTCTCCCTGTATTCCATGTGATCTAACTGTACTAACCAGTCTACCACGAGGAATATTGTCAAGCACCTTATTGAAGTCCATATAGATCACGTCCACCGCTCTGCCCTCATCAGTCCTCTTTGTTACTTCTTCAAAAAACTCAATCAAGTTAGTGAGATTTCCCACACACAAAGCCATGTTGACTATCCCTAATCAGTCCTTGCCTTTCCAAATACATGTAAATCCTATCCCTCAGGGTTCCCTCCAATAATTTGCTCTAAATCGTCTAAATCATTAATATATTTTGTAAACAGTTGGAGTCGTAGCACTGATCCCTGCAGTATCCCATTGGAGTCATACAGGTTTACAACATAGAAACAAGCCCTTCGGCCAAACTTGTCCATGTCTCCTGGTTTTCACAATTAATCTAGTCCTATTTGCCTATGTTTGGTTCATATCCCTCCATAGTTATCCCATCCATGTATCTGTCCAAATGTTTCTTAAATGACAAAATTGCACTCGCCTCCACCACTACCGCTGGCAGCCCGTTCCAGAAACTTACTATCCTCTCTATGAAAATATTTCTCCTCTGGACCCTTTTGTATCTCTCTTCTCTCACCTTAAAGGAGACTTAGACACACCGAGTGAATGGGCAAGAGCATGGCAGATTTAATACAATGTGGATTCAGAAAAGAAAGGTCTGAGAAAAGATTTGCAAGGATGTTGCCGGGATTGCAGGATTGGAGCTACCAGGAGAGGTGTTTTTTTCCCTGGAGTGTCGGAGGCTGAGGGGTGATCTTATAGAAGTTTATAAAATTATGAGGGGCATAGATAGGGTGAATAGCCAAGGTCTTTTATCCCGGAGTAGGGGAGTCTAAAACTAGAGGGCATAGGTTTAAGGTGAGATGGTAAAGATTAAAAGGGACCTGAGGGGCAATTTCTTTTACACAGAGCATGTGTAGAACGACCTGCCAGAGGAAGTGGTGGAAGCTGGTACAATTACAATTTTTAAATAGGCATCTGGATGGATATATAAATAGGAAGGGTTTAGAAGGATATGGGCCATATGCTGGCAAATGGGACTAGATCAGTTTAGGATATCAAGTCAGCAACGATGAGTTGGATCGAAGGGTCTGTTTCCATACTGTGTAACTCTATGACCCTATAGAATTATACTTGGAAGTAGTCTTGTACTAGATAATTAGGACTTGCAGACATTTTAGATTGGCTTTATTCTAATTCATTCTATAATTATAATTGACTTAGGTTTTTCATGAAAGTTAATGTGAGCTCCAAAATCTTATAAGGTCAACATGCACATTATGAACCTTTCCCTTTTTATGCAAATATACAGAGACCAATTGCAAGCTAGATACTGGACTTAAAAGGCATTTTTCTGCAAACAGCCTGTGATTGGAAATCCCCAGTTCTTTTGGTTTGGGAAGAGGACAGGTTATTATGGTCAATAAGTACAAATAGGAATAATTGGATTTCTTTACATGTGTTTTAAAGATGCTTCTGGTTGTTTGATCCGCTGTCTCTCTCTCTCTCTGTCTATTGAATTTTGATTCGCTGTTAGTTCATGAATATGAATTTGGAGTGGAGGAGTGGAAAGGTGAATGTTGCAATTTTCTCATGGTGCTTAAAGCTTTCAGTTTGCCACGAAAGACATCCAACACAAAGAATTTTTTAAAGGTAAAAGAAGGGGACCTACGTGACTTGTCCAGCGTAATGTTTTATCCTGAAGTGTTTGTTGAACTCCATATTCTTTTCAGTCGGACACAGCTGCAAACGGCAAACAAAGTGTTAAGTACAGAAACCTCTATCAGATTGGGTAGCCACCAACACAACATGAACTGAGTCTTCTTCGGAGGTCACGGTTTTAGCTTATACTAAATTAACCAGCTTGCTTATAGCTGGGGATAACAAAGTGTGGAGCCGGAGGATCACAGCAGGCCAGGCAGCATCAGAGGAGCAGGAATGCTGATGCTTTGGGTCGAAGGGTCCAGACCAGAAGCTTTCCTGTTCCTCTGATGCTGCCTGGCCTGCTGTGTTCATCCAGCTCTATACCTTGTTATCTCAGACTCCAGCATCTGCAGTTCTTGCTATTTCAGTGCTTATAGTTAGGTTGTTTATGGTTGAATCGCATCACTCTCAGATTAGACAAATCACAGATCAACTGTGGCTCCTGTTTCTCATTGCTATCCCAGTGGCTACCAATGGAGTGCTCAGAAACAAATTTTAGGTGAAGGCCAGGTTGAGTTTAGTTGTGAGCCTTCCTAGAATTGGATATCTTCCTCTCCATCCCACCCAAGTCACACACCATCTGACTTTAAAATATATGATAATTCTTTCATTTTCACAGTTCAAAGTCCTGAAACTCACTAACTAACAGCATCCTGGGGCTATTTCTACTATATGGACTGCAGAGGTTCAAGATGAATGCCCACCGTCAGCTTCACAAAGGCAATGAGGGATGGCAAATAGTGCCAGCTTTCCAACTGATGCACTTGTCTCATTGATAAAGGAAAACCTGTCAAAACTGTCTTATTGGGTCAGGGCTGCTTGTTCATGGGAATTGTGTCACAGCAGCATTCTCCTTTGGACAAGTATTAATGAATGGTGTGATTTCCCTCCAATTTATTATGCTAAATAGTGAAACTGGTTAATCTGTCCACATCTGGTAAAGCAGAGAGACGAGGTGATATATTAGTGCCAATGGCTAAGGGACAGAGACCCAATGTTTAAAATGATTAATGTTCAGTGATGCAACTTTGGTGAGTATCCTCCTGCACTGCTACATAACTCCAGGTTACGACAGGTTTGGTTACAGACTGCCTTCCCATTTTATTGGTCAGGCAGTGGCATATGCTACTCACCCAATCTAATGAGTTTCAGGCTTCAGGCATGAAACCAGGAACAGAACTTGAATTATATGGCAGCACTTATAAGCTCAGGAAATCCCAAATGCTTCACAGCTAAATCAATACTCTAATAAGTGCTTTTTGAGGTGGAGACAATGTTGTAATATAGGAAACACATCAGTTCATTTGCGTATAGCAGTTTGTCATAAACAGTTGTTGGGGTCCTTCTAAAGTTAATGAGAGACATTTTACAGTGGGAGTAACAGATGATTAAAACAGCCAGGCCAACAGTTTCACTTCCTTTCTGTTGTCAGCCTGCACAGCAGAACAACACAATAATTATGTACCCAATGTCCCCACAGGTAATTCTGCTATAGATTTAATGAGATAAAGATCTGGCATAACCAATTTGCCTTAAAATTCTTGTCTTGATTATTTTGAGCTTATGTTAGTCACTGCCTGTTATAAATTTCCTGGCCCCTTGCTGTGCCCAGCTTCTGGTTTTGTCCCACCTTTCTGCTAGTGTAGTGGGCATGTTTGCCCAGCTTTGAGTCCATGGTGTCCACCAATATGGCATCTGTCACCTTCCCAACGTTCATACAGGCCTCATCCAGGATGGCAATGATTCCTTTGTGTTGTTGTTCCACAAGATCCACAATGATTTGATTGTTGAAGTAGTCAATCTGGACCATGAAGAGACAGAAAGGAAAGAAACCTTCAGTAGCCAAATGTTAATCTTTGGGATACTTAATGAGTGCCAAACTATGGAGCTAGGCTGGACATGATGAATAGGAGGAAGCTCAGTGGATATTGTATATGTAAACTTTACAACAGTCTTCAGGAGGCTATTAAACATTATTAAAGAATATGGAATCAAGGGGAAGATAGCAAATTGAATTTAAAAATAGATGGAAGAAAACAAGGGATTGAAATTAAGGGCAATTTTCTGTGCAGTTTAATGTGGGTAAGAGTGTTCACAAGGATTAGTGTTGGCAAAACTTATACACACAGTATATATCAATGATATAGCTATACTAAAATAGGAGAAATAGTTAAGACTTTAGGAGACCTGAGGAAATTCCTCCAGGATATTAATAAAGTGAGGGAATGAATTAAAAGAGGCAGAATGAATTCAACGTTAGCAGGTTTATGTAGACACCAACAAGGACAGGTTAACCTAGTTATTGTGAATTCCAAGTAGAAACTTAGCTTAGCATCAGACAGGTAATATTCTGTGACATTTAAGTATAGATGGTTTGCACATTCTCCCTGTGTCTGCATGGGTTTCATCCAGTTTCCTCCCACAGTCCAATGATGTGCAAGTTAGGTATATCAGCCATGCTAAATCGCCCATAGTGTCCAGAAAGGTTAGATGGGTTAGCCATGGGAAATACAGGGTTATAGGATTAGGGTACGGGGCTTGGGTCTGGGTGGGATGCTCTGGAGGGGTAGTGTGGACGCCGAATGCCGAATGGCCTGATTTCACACTGTAGGGATTCTATGATTCTATGATAGTCATTCTTTTGTGCAGAGTTATTTGTGAACAGACTTGGCCCCAAGATGAAAACAATGGTGATGATAGATTGTGTAGGACTGTGGTGAGGTTTGGAATACTGTCTCAGATTTGGACTCCATATTGAAAGAAGGATGTATATGCTTTTGAAACAAAACAGTGAAGGTTCTGGGATGAGAGTGTCATCTTAGGATTGGAGGCTGAATAAATGCACCCACCATGTCTGATGTCTAGAAGAACAAGAGGTGTTTGCATTGAAATGATACAAGGTTCTGGAGGGTTTTGACAGGTTTGGAACTCTAGAACATGGGGGACATAGTCTCAGAATAAGGAGTTGACCAGTGAGAACCGAGATGAGGAGAATATCTTTTACACAAAGGGTTGTTAATGTCTAGAATTCGCCAGCCTGGAGTGTTGTCAATGCTCCATCATTGAATATATTCAAGGCTGAGATCAATGGACACTTAGTCTTCTTGGAGATGAGTTCTCTATTGGGATACAGGGAAGAGGGCAGAGACAGAAGGTGGATCATCATTGTACTAAATGAGAGAGTGCATTGAGAAGCTGTATGACTTTCTCCTGCTCCTATGTTTAATGTTCTTAAGTTCAAAGTCTTTGACAGGCATATTACAAAGAGCCATTAATGATTACCTTGCCAGAATGGGTTACTGATGGGTTTCAGAGGAAATTTAATGCCACTGGGAAGCTGAATCTTTGCGCTGGGCTCTGGAGTGCAAGGTAACCAGGTCTTGCTCAGCAAATAGATGAAACTTACCAGTGCTTAGTTTGGGTAAGTTGCTTACATTTTTGGCTGGTTTATTTTCAACCAAATCCTTGTGCACAATTGGAAATACCTCACAGTTTGATTAAGCCAATCCATGCGCAGCCTATCTGGCTCAGATATGTGTGTTGTGTGCATTACGCAGATAACATGTGTGCAGTCTTATATCAAGTAAACAGATAACAGCAGTGTTGAAATCTCAGACAGTGGTTCAGAGATTTTTACATAGAGCTGACAAGTGTCAATGTGTCAGGCACATAGCTAATCAGAAACAAAACTATGCCTGATGAGTATCTGACTCCCTAAACTGGTCCCTCAGAAACATTGAAAGGAATTTACAGACTCTCCTACAACAATGGCTCAGGAAGAAAATCCATTTTTCCAAATACCTGGAGGGATCTGTCTGTGCCCATTTGCTTGAATGATTGCTTTAAGTTTGTGAACTTGATGTTGCTAACTTGCTGATTCAGAGGCTAAAGTTCTCCATGAGTAAGCCTGCACAATTATGGGCAACAGTGGAGCAGAAACTACTAGCAATGAGGCACCAGATCACTGTCTTCACCTGGATTTCTTTCCCTACCACTCCCCACATTCCTGGTAGATCCAGCAGTCCTTACTGTATGATTGATGAGGGCATTGGGATACATGATCATTATGGGTCCACCCCAGTTAAAACTGCTTCCAAAGTGGGAAATTAGTATGAGGTACTTGCAATCAGTTTTAACAGCTTAGTGGCAGGAGAAAGCCTCGTAGCCTTTTGCCTCCCTCCAAAGCTTCAGTGTCTGTGAAAATGACCTACTTTCAATATTTGGGACGTTCAAGTTCCCTGTACAGGTGCTAAAATATAAATTCGGCATTGTCTTACCAGACCATTGCGATGCTTTCTCATTAGAGAGAGATGGTAAGTGGTGGCTTAACCTAAGGGTCACCATGCCTCAGGTGAGGGGAGAGATTGAGAAGGAGAGTCCTTCATGGTAAACTCAGTTGATGCGGGAATTGAATTCACACTTCTGGTATCAGTCTGCTTTGCACACCAGCCATCCAAACTAACTGACCCCCTATACAGGTACTACAACATTGCTGAAATGTCAATCTACATCATTCCAGGGCTGATAATCCCATTTGGAGACTGCATGCAGACTAGCAGTTGGGTAAAAGTTCTGCCAGTGTTAAATCAGGCAAATTTTACATCGGAACTTAGAATGGGTAGAGATTAAATATCCCAACCAATAATAACACTACCCTAACGCTTCATAACCTTTCATTAGGGTCACTGTTAACCTTCTCAGCTCTGCATTCTGTTGATAAATTACTTCCCATAGTGCAATGACTTAAGACCATATGACATAGGAGCAGAAATTAGGCCATTCAGCCCATCGAGTCTGCTCTGCCATTCAATCATGGCTGATAAATTCATCAACCCCATTCTCCCGCTTTCTCCCCGTAACCCTTGATCCCCTTGATATAAGACTTGACTTACATGTTGCCACTCGATTCCCTCTCTCTGGTACTCTGCTTGCTCCTGCCTCAGGATCAGTTCAATGAAGAGCTGTTGAAGCTTCTCATTGCAGTAATTTATACAGAACTGTTCAAAACTGCAGGAAGATCATAGCAAACTATTAGCATTTCCTTTCATTTCTTGCATATAAATGTATTTCCCTCTTGGAGACTGATATCTGAGGTCAGCAACATCTCACAAAAGATCTCCGGGAGAGGGCAACAATAATCAATCACTCCATGGCCCCACATTCCGTTATTATCAAGCACCAGGGTGGGAGCTGAACCCAGAACTTTAGGCTCAGATACTAGCTATAGCGTCAGGAGACTTCCAAGGTCTACCTAAGCGTTTTATAAAAATTTACCATAGTTTGCTTGTTTTTGTACTCTTCTTTGTTCTCAAGGTAACTTCTTTGATTATCCATGGGTTACTGAACCATGATTAGTTCCATGATTGTACTGTATGTCTTGAGGGACTGGCTCTGAGCCTACTTCAGCCAGAATGGGGGTCAAACCCTGCACTGATATTATTGTGAACCACAGACTAGTTAGCTGAGCTCACCAACTTTCATTTATGCTTTAAGTTTCTGCTTTTAAAAGTATGGTGTATGGTGTTTTAAGAGCTGTATCGACTTCTCCTGGCAACTTCAAAGGTCAGTGCATGTGAACCCCTAAGTCCCTCTGGTCTTGCACTTCCAGTTTTTTTCTCCAAACATACATCACCTGACACTTTTCTGTATTAATTTTCATCTGTCACATGCCTATACATTTCACCCATCCATGAGCTCCTGAAGTTTTTTTTTCCTCATTCCTGGAACGTGGGTATTGTTGGCTAAGCCAGCTTGTATTGCCCATCCCCAATTGGCCTTGAGACTGTGGTGATAAATCACCTTCAAGAACCATTACAGTCAATGGAGTTTAAGTACATTATAATTCCAAGGTTTGTGTTATCTGCAATGTTTGAACTAATAACCCATTTATATAATGCAGGGCTTATATTTCTTTGTATTGTTATAATGAAAAGTTTGATAAGATGATTATGTTTTACACTGTCTCCTTAATTCACTGTAAAATAAGAAAACAAAGTGAGTCATGTGACCTGCTTCAAATTTTGATGGACAACCAGCTGCATGGTTTGGTTACCATGGAGACACTTACTGGGAATAAAGTATGAAATGTTTTGGACTGAATAAAGGAGGTTTCAGGGAGAGACAAAAGGCTGCAGCTAATGTAGTCACCATAGGACTGTAAGCTAGCAGGAAGCATGAGTTTGATGAGTCTGATTTATTGCTGTCACATGTACCGAGATACAGTGAAAAGTGTTGTTTTGTGTGCTATTCAGGCAGGTCATACCATACAAAGTGCATCAGAGTAGCAGAACGGAGTGCAAAGTACAGAGTCATAGCCTCAGAGAAGGTGCAGAGAGAGATAAACATTAATATTTGAGACGTCCATTCAAAAATCTGATAACAGCGGAGAAGAACCTATTCTTGAATCTCTTTGTATGTGTTTTCAAACTTTTATATCTTTTGCTCAATGGAAGAAGGTGGAAGAGAGTATAACCAGGATGGGAGGGGTCTTTGATTATGTTGATTGCTTTCCTGAGGCAGTGGGAAGTATAGATAGAGTCAATGGAAGGAAGGCTGGTTTGCGTGATGGACTGGGCTGTGTTCATGACTGTATGTAGTTTCTTGCAGCCTTGGGAAGAGTAGTTGTCATACCAAGCTGCGATTAATCCAGATAGGATGCTTTCTGTGTTGTATCTATAAATATTGGTATGAGTCCTTGTGGCCATGTCGAATTTCCTTAGTCTGTTGAGGAAGTAGAGATATTGTTGTGATTTCTTGAACATGTGTCAACGTGGGTGGACCAGGATAGGTTGTTGATGATCATCCCTTCCAGGAACTTGACGCTGTTGACCATCTCCACCTCAGTACCATTAATGTAGACAGGGATGTGCCCTCTACTCCGCTTCTTCAAGTCAATGGCCAGCAGCTTCATTTTGCTGACATTGATGGAGAGCTTGTTGTCTTTACACCATGCTGCTGAACACTCAATCTCTTACCTGTACTCTGTCTTGTTGTTGTTTGAGATCCAACCTATAATGGTGGTGTCATCTGCAAACTTGTAAATGGAGTTGGTGTGGAATTTGGCCACAGTTGCGAGTGTGTAAGGAGTACAGTAGAGGGCTGAGTATGCACCCTTGTGGGGCACTGGTGTTGAGGATTATAGTGGAGGAGGTATTGTCACCTATTCTTACAGATTGAAGTCAATAATTAGGAGCCTGATGTAGATTTCCCTGTTATCCAGATGTTCCAGGAATGAGTGTAGGGCCAGGGAGTCTGCCGCGGACCAGTAGGTGAATTGCAAAGGATCAAGGCAATTTGACAGGCTAGAGCTGATGTGAGCCATGACTAACCTCTCAAAGGACTTCATAATTCTGGACGTCAGAGCCACAGGGTGGTAGTTATTGCATGCTGCAAGATTTTTCTTTGGCACGAGAATGATAGTGGCCTTCTTGAAGCAAGTGGGGACTTCAGATCATTTGGAAGGGAGGACCATCTTTAATTGAAGAGGTAAATCTCATAGCTGTCTAAAGAATCTGGAAGATTTGCCCAGGAAAGACCAGTAGGAAAGATTGCCAGAATCAGTCAGTCTTACAGAAAAGGTTTACCAGGATGTTGCCTGGTATGGGGGATTTCAGCTATGAAGAAAGATTGGATAGGCTGGGTTTGTTTTCACTGGAACACAGGAGGTTGAGAGGTGATCTGATAAACGTTTTTAAGATTGTGAATGGCATGAATAGAGTGGAAATAAGAGGGTTTTTCCCAGGGTGGAGGAGTCAATTATTAGGGGACACAGGTTCAAGATGAGGGGGGAGTTTAAAAGAGATGTGCGAGGCAAGATTTTCACACAAAGGGTGGTGAGAGCCTAGAACGTGCTGCCTGAGAAAGTGGTGAAAGCAGACACAATAATAGCATTGAAGACGCACTTGGAAGAATACAAGGGACTAGAGCGATACGGATCCTGTAAGTGAAGACAGTTTTAGTATGGAAGTGCAAAATGTCACGGTGCAGGTTTGGAGGGCCGAAGAGCCTGTGTCTGTGCTGTATTGTTCTTAGTTCGTTGTCTTTCTTTGTTCTAAAGGAAGTGATTTTTTTTAAAAAAATGATTACTTGACGTTATAATATGATGAAATAGGAAGCTGGGTATGGCTGTGGACTGTTTCCTATGAAGACTGTAATCCTGTTGAAAACATATTGTAGCAATATATAAAAAAACGCAGTGCTGGATTATCAGTGGTGGTAAAGCATTATTAAGGGCTAACATTATTAAGAGTATTCATTGCTGATTAGGTAATGTTTAATTAAAGTTGTTTTCAGTTGGTTTGCTACAGTAAAACTCTTAAAAAGTGAAATTACATCATACAATTCTTTTATGTTGGGCACTGGGATTCAATGTGTACAGTTACTGGTCTCCAAAGGGACGGTAAAATAACCTCATGATCTGTCCAAAACACTTAGTGTGTCTCCTAATTAACTATCATCTACAAACCTGAATATACAACTCCCTATTTATTTTTTTAAGTGATTAATATATTTTAAGAAAAACTGATTTCCCCCAATACAGATTTTTGGGAGTACTATTTATCACATCTGACCAATTACAGAATGTGACGTTTATCTTTATTCTCTGTCACGTATCTCCTAGCCAATTACAAATCTACATCACAAGTTTGACTCCAGTATCATGGACAACTTTCGCTACTGTTCTTTCATGCATGACTTTATCAAATCCCTTTTGGAAATCAGTATAGACAACGTCCATTGACACTCCTTTATTCACTAGTAACATTTCTTAAACCCTCAGAAATCCAGGCAGATTCTCCTTGCTCAACTGGTACCTGGCTAAGTCCTCAACCACAGATTCCTGTAATTTCCCCACAATTAATGTTAGAATGACAGGCCTGTAGTTTTCTGATTCCTCTCTGTGCCTTCTTAAGGAATTTATAAGATTGTCCAATTCAAAGATAATCCAATTCAAAGGCACAGGTTTTGAATGTAGATAGCAACTTTGTCACCTATGTCTTTTCATTCCTTGGAATGGAAGTTTATCTTAAATTTGATTATTTTCTTCATCAGCAAGTTTTTTTTTACTGTTGTTCAATCCACCACTTTCCTCCGCATGACCTACACTACTGATGATTTTTGGCTTCTTCCGGCAATGTGAAAATGAATACAATCTATTCGTTTTAAAATTTTGATTTAATTTGCTAACTTGGGAATAAACAGGAAAAAATAGCATCTGAGGTATCAATGTTTTGCAATGATAAAAATGCCAGTTAAGGTTTTGGGATCGAGAAAAGATGACTATGGGCACAACAAACAAAGATTCGAGAGACGAGTGAATTGCTGGTAACTTATTTGAATTGGAGTAAGATATTTAGAATCAGATCAATAATTATTTTCATGGAAACTGTATAATGGAACCTCAATGATTCAGTATGATATAAGGAGAATTGCCACAAATGAAAACTAATAGATAAATGATCGATTTTTTATGCCTTGTTTTATTCAGGAAGATTTGGCTTCCAATTGTCATCGAGTTCCCAGTACGCTGACTTAAAACTCATGTTTCCTTTTTTTAAGAACAATGTTTAGTCTCAATACTCCGGTACGAAGTTGTGATTCTACTCCCTCCAATCAGTAATGCTGATCTCTGCTGTTCTCACGAACAAAACCCTGTCTCTTACTGTAGCCCATTCCAGGTGGTTCTTCCTGATCTCCTGGCCTGAAACCTTGACACCTGCTTGACTCTTTCATGGATTCCTAATTTCTACTGGTCTTGAGTAACCTGAAGTTCTAATCACCAGTAGTCGCTCCTACTTAAATAGAACATTGTGATATGTGGCCTGCTCTCAATATGTGTGACTTGGAGATACATCAGCCTAGCAGGTAAAAATTTCTGATTAGCAAATCTAGTGAGTGTCTGATTGTAGATCAGTGCTAAGAGACTTTCTGGAAATTGTATAAATCTGTTGTAATGCACATTTCAGCAAGTAATAGATAATGCCACTGTGCTCCATACCTGTTGTTTTCAAAGATCTCAAATCCATAAATATCCAGCACTCCAATCACAGTGTTCTTCCCGTGAATGCGTGGGTCATAACCCTTTACCTCAATGACATCATTGATGCGATTCACAATCCAACAAAATAGGCGCTCATAAATGGCCTATGAAGGGAAGGAAGATGAAGTGAAAATAACACTTGTTTACTTAAAAGAGGAAACACTTCTTCCTATCTTCTTTCTCATCAAGCTTCTCTGATATATTATGAGTCATCTTCCACAAGCAGTCTCAGGTCAGATACAGAATAAAATTCCTTCTATATTGACCTAAGGATACAGAATTCACATGCAAAGTTTCTCATACTGTGTGAGAGCATTCTCACTCCATGCTAACTTATTCCCAACATGCATGATCAAGCCACAATCGCATTTTTACGAAGATATCAATACAGTTTTATAAGTTACTTTTGAACCAAGGCCCAGCAGAAATGTATAAAGAACTGGCTGCAACCACATTCTCAAAAATCCTATCTTTTTTCCTCAATGCCTCTGATAGTATTGTAGAAGGATGATGTTTTAAAACTGATGACATTGCACTGCAGGGATAAATATATACAAATGATTAAACAAATAAACTAGGTGACTAATATCAAGCTTTAAAAGTTGTTAGACTTTGTTCCGTTCAAGCTATTGTCATAGCATTGTATGATATGAGAGATAGTAAGAACTGCCGATGCTGGTCAGAGATGACACAGTGTGGAGCTGGAGAAGTGTCCCGACTTGAAACGTCAACTTTCCTGCTCCTCTGATGCTGTCTGGCCTGCTGTGTTCCTCCAGCTCCACGTTGTGTTATCACTATATGATGTGAACAGTTTAGTGAGTGAGATAAGAGGAGTAGTTGCTTAAACTTGAATCGAGGAATGCCTCCTTTGGTTTGATAAAATCGAGGAAGTGATAATGTTGTTCATCTTGAATATGAATGATTATATTTGAAGAATATGTAACCTAATATCATGGTGCTGCATGCCAAATTATTCATTTAGTTATAAATTCGGTAATTGATTTGTACACAGCATGATCCCACAAAGAGCAACCAGTTAAAGGTAGTAGGAACTGCAGATGCTGGAGAATCCGAGACAACAAGGTGCAGGGCTGGATGAACACAGCAGGCCAAGCAGCATCATAGGAGCAGAAAGGCTGACGTTTTGGGCCTAGACCCTTCATCAGAAATGGGGGAGGGGAAGGGGGTTCTGAAATAAATAGGGAGAGAGTGGGAGGCGGATAGAAGATGGATAGAGGAGAGGATAGGTGGAGAGGAAACAAACAGGTCAAAGAGGCGGGGATGGGGCCAGTAAAGGTGAGTGTAGGTAGGGAGTTAGGGAGGGGATAGGTCAGTCCAGGAAGGACGGACAGGTCAAGGGGGCAGGATGAGGTTAGTAGGTAGGAGATGGGGGTGCGGCTTGAGATGGGAGGAGGGGATAGGTGGGAGGAAGAACAGGTTAGGGAGGTGGGGACGAGCTGGACTGGTTTTGGGATGCGGTAGGGGGAGGGGAGAT